TTTAAAAAAAAAAAAAAAAAGAAAAGAAAAAAGAATCCAAAAAATATTTTCCTTTATTTTCTTTTTGGAAAAGTCTTTCTTTGAGACCCTAATTTTCAAAAATCCAAAAATATTTTCTTTCAGTTCTTTCTTTAGAAATCTTTCCTTAGAAAATTCAAAAAAAGAATGAAGAAGTTTTTAAACTCAAAAATAGTTTCCTTCTTTCTGAAGTCTTTCATATGGAAAAAGAATAAAAGAAAAATCAAAAAGAATAAAAATTCGAAATACGGGTTTCCTTTATTTTGAAGTGTTTTTCCAAAAATTAAAAAAAAACCAAAAAAAAAAGAAGAATAAAAAAGGAAATTTTTTCTTCTTTAAAAGTATTTCTTTCGTAAATGTTAAAAAAATTTTTTTGAAAAAATTGAAGTCCAAAAATATTTTTTTTTCTTTAGAAGCACTTTTGTAAATAAATAAAAAGCTGAGAAATTCAAAATATTTTCTTAAAGTCCCTCTTTCGAAAACTAAGAGGCAACTTCCAGAATCCAAAAATATTTTCTTTCTTCTTTAGAAAAAGATAAAACAAATAAAAATTCAAAAAAAAAAATCTTTTGAAATTCCTATAATTCAAATTAAAATAAAAGGAATTTTTAGAAGTCCTTCTTTAAAAAAAAAAAATTGAAATAAAAAATCCAAAAAAAAATAAAAATAATTCCTTTATTCTTTTAAAGCATTTCTTTCGAAAATTTCAAAAAAAAAAAAAGATCAATTCAAAAATATGTTTTTCTTTTTCTTAAATCTTTCATGGTTTGAGTTTTATAAAAGTAAAAAAAAAAAGAGAGTTAGTTTATTTACTCTATTCTCAATCTTTTCGAACTACGCGAGATCTGATTCATGCGGCGTCATGATACGTAGGCAACCCCCATCGGATTCGATCATAGCTATAAGATAAAACTAAGTGAAAAATAATTTGAAAGAAAAAGAGAAAAAAAAATTGAAAAAAAAGAAAAGAAAAAGAGTGAAAAAAAGAAAAAGAAAAAAAAGGAGCGATAAAAAAAAAGTGACAAACAAAAGAGAAAAAGAGAGTGCCAAAAAATAAAAGAGCGGCAAAAAACGAGATGGAAAAAATCAAGAGTGATTAAAGAGAGGCAAAAATAAAAGAAGAGAGGTACATACTGAAAGGGTTAATTAAGGCCGGGATGAAACATGCAACCGTTCAAACACACGGTAGAAGCATTTAACTGTTAGGTGCATTGCATCCCAACGTGCGATTTTCTATATGTTAAATGTCTCAAAACTAACAAGGTTGCTTGTGTGAGCAAATTAGCCAGGTTCTGTTCAAGTGGTTGGTTTTGTTGGTATGCGGTGATGAACGCGCAACCTTGCACGCGGCCACAACATTATACACAAAATCGAGCTCTACCTCCCAGAAATGCCCATCCTTACCAAGCTCCGTATAATCCCCAATCAAATGTTCCCCAGTACAATCCTCGCCCAAGAGAGCCTTTCAAAAGGAATCAGTTCACCCCTATTGGTGAATCATACTTGGGTTTGTTCCAAAAGCTAGTCTGGCGAGGTTTCCTGCAGCTAGTGGCCCCAAACCGGCCAAACCCCGAGTCCCCTCGCGCCGAGCTGATGCTAGATGTGAATACCACTCTGGAGCAGTGGGGCACAATACAGAGGACTGTTGGACCCTCAAAAGGGCAGTTAAAGATTTGATTGAAGCTGGAAGAATCATCTTTCGGGACGAAGAGGCTCCTAACATGATGAACAATCCTCTGCCTACTCACACCAATGGGCCAGTAGTTGGAATGACTTGTGAAGATAAGAAATTTGATTCGGTACTGAAGGCCATTACAGCCATTGCCGAGACAGAAGAAAAGCCAAAAAATGGTCGCCAAGCATGAAAGTTCCCCATCAGACGGGAGTCTCGGTAGCCAGTCTTGCTATCCTTTCTGCGTCCGGATTATCTCAGGGTGTGATCCGAATGTTTTACTTTATTGTCTTACTTTCCGATGAAAACCCTTCTATCTCCAAAAAAAAAATCAAAAAATCAAAAATCAAATGAAATTAATATTTCATTGTCCAGGAATGTCTCTTTTCTTAATCTTGTTATTTTTCTTTCTTATTCTCTTTTTAGTTTTGTTAAATGCAGATTTCAATAACATGACATGCTTGCGGACTTCATGCCCGGATCCTGAAAGCTGTCAGGCCTCGAAATAATGAATCAAGGTTTAGATCCCAATGAGGATAAAGTTTAAGGAAATAAAACAAAGAGTTGGAACAACTGAAGGAAAATTGGTTCCAGAATTGGAAAGGTCCATACATTACAACAAGAGTACTGCCAAAAGAGTGCGTTGTACTTAGGACACATCGAAGGAAATGTCCCTGAAACAACTGTCAATGCAAATGCAGTGAAAAGGTACTATGTTGGATCCTCCGTATAGTTCTAATATTCTCCGGTTGGGATTACGAAGGCTTTCATTTTCGCTACCCAAACACTATCAACCCTTTGCAAACCCTTTGATCCGGCTCCCATCCTTTGATTACCCTCTTTGGAACCTGAAAGTGTTATTGAAAAATGAAATGAAAAAAAAAGAAGAAAAAGAAAAGAAAGATTCAAAAAAGAAAAAGAAAAAAGAAACAAAAAAAGAGAGGAAAAGAAAAGAAAAAGAAAGAGAAAACAAAGCAAGACAAAACAGAAGAAAAACAAAAGAAAAACAAAAAAAAAAACAAAGTTCCCTGAACTACGTTTGACTTGATTCCGAAAGGATACGGTGGCAGCCTCTCTCTGGGGTTCAGTCACGCCAAAATAAAAATCCAAAGTCCCCCAATAAGTGAAACTGGGAAGATATTATAGTGGTTCGGCAATGATCCCACGCAAAAGGTTCCACAGTTGTAACTCAATCCAAATCCTTTTTACCCAAACCCTGTTCAAGTCCTTCCGATCAATCGGTGAGACTGTTCAAGGACCAAAGAATACAGTTATTTGGATCTGATACAACAAAGTGAGAGACATAAAATGAGAGAGTCTTATTAGTGAAAACCCACACGGCCACCGTGAGGCGACGGTAAGTAGAGAAATTGAAATGAGAGAGTCTTGTTAGTGAAAACTCGCAAAGAGCACAATAAGGCAATGGTGAGTTAGAGAAATGAGAGAGGTCAGCTCGTGAAAACTCGCAAAGGGCGCTCCTGATCGAAAAGAAGATTCTCACAGCCATCGGCATCGACAGAGTCCTGGCAAGGTTTCTCGAATTTTGAAGCAAAGTTGTGATGAATTTTTGAGAGTCGGACGGTTTACACAGATCAGGCATCCAGTCCAAATGGCATGTCATGTTCATTGAAGTCCGGATGTACTCCAGATAAGTCCTTCTTTCCTCTCCCCGAAAGGGATACCTCTCGTTTTAATTCATTGTCCTGTCCATTATTTATTTTTCTTTGAATCCCTTTCGGTCTAACTCTATTCCGGAACTGAGACAAAGAAGGGATGGCAAGACTGATTTACAGGGCTTTCGTTTGACACGAGCTAATGTGCAAAAAGGCACCCAGCCTCGTCAGGGGGATCAAGTCGACCCCGACTAGCCATGGCGGCCGATACTTCGAAATTAAAACTCTTGGAAGGAGAAAATCAAATTGAAGCGCCTATAAAGGCAAATGAAGTTGAAAAGGTTGAGTCCCACGTGGCTAACCGCCTCGGCAAAGTTTTGAAAAGCCAAGGTACCCAAATGATCTGAAATTAAAAAGAAAGAAGCAAGAAATGAAAGGCCTACGAAGGCGAAACAAAGTTGGAAAAGTTTAAGTCCCACGCGACTAGCCGTTGCAACTAGTTTGAGGAGCCAAAAGTTTCCCGATGCTCCGAAAAAAAAGAAGAAAAAGAGGAAAAGAAAAGGAAGTCAGAAAGGAAAGGCCTACGAAGGCAAATAAAGTCGAAAAGGTTGAGTTCCGCCGACCAACAGTCATGGCAAAGTCTAGAAAAACCAGAAATTCTCGATGGCCTGAAATGAAAATCGGTTCTCAGGGACAAGCAGCTGCAGTTGAGATCTTCATCAAAGAAACTGGGCCAAGATCAAGTGATCGAAACAATCAAGGCCACAAAACCAACCACCGTTTTAAACTAACAATTGTTCTTTGTTTGAAAACATGAAACAGGTGCAATCCAAGGCAACCGTGCAAGAAGCAGGTGCAACCAAAAAAGAAATGCGCAAGTGCAAGAAACAGCTTTGCAGCAACAATCCATAAAAAGGGAAGTCCCCTCCAAATTTTTCCCGCATTTGCTCATTCCATGAAATAAGTAAAAATAGAGAAAAAAAAGAGATAAGAAGAAAATTCAAAAAAAAAAATGGTAGTATAGGATCCCCAATCTCAATCTTTTAACACAGAGCAATAACAAAGTTGACAAGGTATATTTTAACTAGAGAGAGAAGCTCTGGGCGATTTTTTGGGCGACTAGAGAGAGAAAGCTCGCTGCCCGCTCCCATGGCCAATTCGGTCGGTGGCCAGCCACCTCCTGTGGCTGGGCTGCCTCCACAACCACCCCCCAACACTGCCCAGCCCTTAGCGACCCCAGAAAACAATCAAAAACCCATGGATTATGCCAAAGTATTGAAGCCTACGTCCAACCCTACTGCCATGCATGAACGTGCATCAACAGTTGAGCCTATTGCTCCTAGACGAGCCAAAGTATTTCACGGACAACCAACTGTTTGCTTTACTGAGGTAGAAGTAAAACGCATGAATATAATTGAAGGGCTGCAATATGCAGTCGTGTGCAAATTTTGTATGGATGGCCAGACATCAATGAAATACGTCGCATTGTTCCTTTGCAATGTGGTATTAGAGGTGAGTGCAATATTGGATATCTACGAGACAGGCACATCTTAGTTCGCTTGACTTTATGGCAAGACTTTGTAGATTTCTCTTCAAAAGGTGTGTATTATGTTAAGGATAAGCATGGGGAGGAATATCAATTAAGAACTTTAATTTATGATGAAAAATTTAAAGTCGGAGAGGAAGCACCTAAAGTGATGGCTTGGATATCATTCCCCAACCTGTTGCCTACTTATTTTGTCAAAGAATGTCTTTTTTCTTTACCTTCTACAGTAGGTATCCCACAATATCTAGATTTGGCTACTGTGAATAAAACAAGGCCTAGCTGTGCTCGTGTGAAGGTGTTGGTGGATCTGCTAGATGAACTTCCAAAGAAGGTGAGAATGGACATTGTGGATGAGGCAACTGGCGATGTGAGAACTGAATGGGTGATCATTAAATATGATTACATTCCTAAATATTGCAAGGAATGCAAATTGCAAGGCCATGATATGATAGAATGCTGGAGGATTCATCCAGAACTAATGTCCAATGATCAGCACAAAAAATCAGCAGAGGTGAATGGGAACAACAAGGAGCAGCCTAATCAGCCTTTAATGATCCTTTCAAGTGAGAAAGTTTTTGGGAATACTAAACTAACAGGTGAGCAGTGGAAGGAGGTTAGAGATAATCGTGTGAAAAATGGGGCTTAAAGAATGATGTTTGACCTACTACAGGTAAAGAGATTGTTCCAGTAGGCACCAGCAATGTTCAGCAAGGGCAAAAGGAAAGGCAGGTTTAGGTGTCCAATAAATTTGCTGCTTTGGAAGATACTCAGGAAGGGAGTGACCAAAACAAGCAATTGTTGTGGTGGAGGAACAAGCCGAACAAACAGGAATGGATAGGGACAAGGACAATGGGAAATTGAACCCTGCAGCATCTGAATTTGTTCCTAGATCACTTGGGAATGACAAAAGGAAGAATGGAGACAACAAGAAGTCGAATGGAGATAAACAAAAGTTGAATGCAGAAATCCCAGCTGGTAGCTCTAATCCAACAGGGATTAACAAACAAAGAGAGCAGGAAGAACAGAAAAGCAAGGAAAAGAAAGCTTATGAACAACAGGTCAAGAAATCTACTGCATAGTGGGTTCAAAGAACTTTCAATGCCAATGCAGGTAATAATATAGTGGGAATCAACACTTCATGTCAGAATGTTCCATCTCAGGATACTTTGGTGGAGAGGGAATTGGCCAACAATCCAAAAATTCAAACAAATGACACCTATGCTCCTAAGGTGGCTGATAGAGTGCTATGGAGTGGGGGTAAATTATGGTCAGACCAAAGGGAGATTGATTCAGAAGAGGACCAGGTACCACTTGGGGAAAAACCAGATGAAGAACCAATTCATGAAGACAAAGAGGAAGAAGAACAAAGTGTAAATGGGGCAGCCATTGTCAGAGTTAATAATGAGGAGATTGCTTCAACAAAAAATAATGAGGAAGTCAATGCAAAAGCAGTCATCAAGGGCAGACAGGAGGAAACGAATGCACAAGAAACTGACGCAGAAGGAATAGGAATTGAAGCAGTAGATCCAGGAGGTACAGAAGGAGATGCAAGCCAACATCCAACTGCTGCTGAACAAGTAGTTGCAGTGGATGAGGGAGAAGAGCAGAACAATTAGACTCCTGTAGCAAAAAAAAATATTGTTCCATTGGATCAAACACAGAAGGAGATTGTACAGAAGGGAGGAGAGCAGGTTGTGCAACATAGCAATCATCATCAAACAGTGGTGGAAACTGCAGCAGATCATGATGTGCAGGATGCAGTAGAAGAAATGGGAGGAACAGGTCAGGACATGGACCAGAAATCAACAACTCAAAATTTCAAGAATATTGCTAGACAAGGGGACCTATCTCCTAGAGTTCTAGATAATGTAAAATCTGCAGCAAAAGAAAAAAAAAGTAGCAAAAAGAAAACAATACAGCTGTTCCTATAGGGGTAGTTCAAACAAGGAGGACCTTATCCAAATCACTCATTAAGTAATGGATGCTTTAATTTGGAATATCAAATCAGTCAATACACAGCAAGCCTTTGAAAGGCTGATCAAAATGCACAGAAAAAATCATTATGAATTCATTGGACTGATGGAGCCTATGCAGCAAACTAGAACTCTAGAAAGGTACAGAAGTATAATTGGCTTTGCCCAGGCTATTTCTAATTTATCAAACAAGATCTGGGCTTTTATAGATGAGGTATATGAGGTTACAGTGATGTACAATATGGTACAACAACTAACTCTAAGGCTCTTTCATACAGAAACAAATGTGGAAATTGTCCTCACATTGGTGTATGCTAAGTGTGATGCCATAGAGAGGATTAAGTTATGGGATTCATTGTATTATATGGCAAGTGATATGACAGTGCCATGGTTAGTGGGAGGTGACTTTAATGTCATATGGGATGAAAAAGAAAAGTTTGGTGGACTCCCAGTGTCTTTAATTGAAATTGATGATTTTAGACATTGCATTAACACTTGCAATCTGGTTGATCTTAGGTTCAAGGGTAGTATATACATATGGTGGAATGGCAGGGCAGAGGAGGATTGTATTTTGAAGATGCTAGACAGATGTTTAGCCAACTCTGAATTCCAGCAGACATTCCCTGGAATGGAGGTCCAGCATTTATCCAAAATAGGCTCAGATCACAGTCCATTGCAGATTAAAGTGATATAGAGGCTCCTCCTGTGATAAAACCATTTAGATTCTTGAATTTATGGGTGGATCATTCTTCATTTAAGGAGGTGGTGAGACAAAATTGAAAAGCAGATTTCAGTGCAAGTCCTTACATTCTATTCAACCATAAACTGAAGAAGCTCAAGAAGGTACTATCAGGGTGGAGCAGGGATACTTTTGGAGATATTTTTCAGAAGATAGCCAGCTTGGAGGAAGTTGTTCGTGTACATGAAGCTGAGTTTGAAGCAAATCCCACAAGGTTAAACAAACAAAAGTTACAAAAGGTTCAAGCACATTTGATCAAGTTCTTAGCTTTGGAGGAGAAGTACTGGAAACAGAAGGCAGGGATGTCTTGGTTCAAGGATGGGGACAGGAACACGAAGTTCTTTCATGCACAGGTCAGAGGCAGAAGGAAGAGATTGCAACTATCTAGAATTCAGAATAGTCAAGGTGATTGGATTGAGGAAGATGAAGATATAGCTGCAGAAGCAATCAAGTTCTTTGAGGATCAGTTCTCTGAAACTGCAGTGCCTACCTCTTTTGAAATTTTAGATCAGGTTCCTTCCTTGGTTGATGTGGAACAGAATTCAGACTTGATAAAACAACCTACTATGGAAGAAGTAAAAGAAGCAGTTTTTGGTCTTAATGGAGACAGTGCAGGAGGTCCTGATGGTTTCACAGGCAAATTTTACTAGTCATGTTGGGACATCATAGGAGGAGATATTTTTGATATGGTAAGGGCATTCTTTAATGGGCATGATCTGCCTAAGTGTATTACCCATACCAATCTGGTTCTACTGCCAAAGAAAAAAGAGGTAAGCACTTTTTCTGATTTGCGACCTATAAGCCTTAGTAACTTCTCTAACAAGGTGATATCGAGGGTGATTCATGGAAGACTTGTGGGGATGCTGCCTAATCTAATATCAGAAGAGCAGTCTGGTTTTGTAAATGGAAGGAGCATAGTAGAAAACATACCGCTCACCCAAGAAATTGTCACAGATATGAGAATTAGAACTAAGGCAGAACCAAATGTGATTATGAAGCTAGATATGACCAAGGCCTACGACAGGTTATCCTGGCTCTTTCTGACAAAGGTGCTAAGAATAATGGGGTTTTCAGAGAGGTTTATAGGCATGGTATATGGCATAGTGTCCAATAATTGGTATTCAGTATTGATAAATGGTCAAGCACATGGCTTCTTCAAATCTTCGAGGGGAGTAAAGCAAGGGGATCCTTTATCTCCTACGTTATTTATCCTAGCTGCAGAAGCATTGTCACGAGGTCTAAATGCATTACATTTGAACCTGCACTTTCGTGGTTTTGGTTTACCAAAATGGAGCCCAAAAATCAATCATCTTGCCTATGCAGATGATACGATCATTTTTTCATCATCAGATGCCACATCTCTTCGACTGATCATGGAGGTTTTGGCTGCATATGAGGCTTCATTTGGACAGCTGGTGAACAAAACAAAGTCAGCTGTATACCTTCATCATTTAACAGACACAGATGTTACAGACAAAGTAGAGAGAATCACAGGAATAAAAAGACAGGAGTTTCCTATTGTCTACCTGGGATGCCCTATCTTTTATGCACGCAGAAAACTGGAGTATTATCAGCCTATGATTACAAAGGTTCTGGACAGACTACAGGCTTGGAAAGGTAAGCTGTTGTCTATAGGAGGCAGGGCTGTTCTAATTGCTAATGTTCTGTAAAGCATGCCTTTACATTTGTTATCTGCAGTTAATCCTCCAAATAATGTGATAATAGGCTGCACAAGATATTTGCTCAATTCTTCTGGAGTAGTTCAGTAACAGGTAATAACAGGCACTGGGCATCTTGGAGTAATTTGTGTATGCCAAAGGAGGAAGGAGGGATTGGATTTAGGTCACTTCATGATGTATCAAAAGCTCTTTTCTGTAAATTATGGTGGAATTATAGAATCAAGCCTAGTCTTTGGAGCTCCTTCATGAGCCAAAAATACTGCAAAAAGATGAATTCTGTGATAGTACCTTGGAGGCGAGGGTCTCATGTGTGGAGGAAAATGTTGGAATGTAGGGATTTAATTGAACATCAGATAATGTGGCATCCAAGAATGGGCTCTTCATTATTTTGGTATGACAATTGGACAGGGCTGGGGGCTCTCTATTTCCTGGTTCCACAAGACTTTGGTGTAGATGAATCGGTGCACAATGTATGGGAGGTTGTTGATGGAGAAGGGTGGGATGCAGAAAGATTGGTCGAACTGTTACCAGAGGAATTTGTAGAACACATCTTACAGAACATCAAGCCTCCTACTGCCCAAGGAGTGCTTGATGTACCCTGTTGGATGGTGGAACCTAGAGGATATTTCAGTGTTAAAACAGCCTGGGACTATTTGAGAAGAAGAGCTGAGCCAATGAATGCATTCAAGATGATATGGGTGAAGGGATTGCCCTTTAAAATTGCATTCTTCATGTGGAAGGTGTGGAGAAACAAGTTGCCACTTGATGACTTCTTCAAAAGGCTGGGGTATTTAATGGCATCCAAGTGCTGGTGTTGTGCAGAACCAAAGGAGGAGACTACACAACATTTATTCTTCACCTCATATGCAGCAAACAAAGTGTGGAAGTACTATCTTGGACATGCAGGCATTGCAGTAGAAGGACTCACATTGCATCAAGTCATTGTAAAGTGTTGGACTGCAGATGTTGTACCAAGATTGAAACCAATTATGCAGGCCTTGCCATCAGTAATCATTTGGGAACTATGGAAGAGAAGAAATAGTTACAAGTATGGGGATGGAGTTACCATCAATACAGTGGTCTATCAAATTTCAAATACCTTGCACTCTCTAATCAAGGTAAGAAAGCCAGGAATTCAGCAGGTACCTCACAGGTGGCCAGATATGTTGAAGATGATGGAGCAGTTCACTCCCAAACTTGAATATGTTAAGGTGCTATGGGAATTTCTAGAACAAGGCTGGGTAAAAGTCAATTCTGATGGAGCCTCTAGAGGCAATCCTGGCAGGAGCTCTATTGGATTTGTCCTTAGAAATGAAGAGGGGGATGTTCTGTATGCATGTGGCAAGGAAATACATGAAGGTTCTAATTCAGTTGCTGAAGCAAAGGCTATCTATGAAGCAATGCAGTACTGTGTGCAACAGGACTATGTGCTGATAGATTTGCACACAGATTCAACGCTCTTAAAGAAGGCAATAACTGGAGAATGGAAGCCACCATGGGTAATAGAAACAATGGTGGAGGAAATTAGACAACTGATGAATCGAGCAAATGTAAAGGTGTCTCATACTCTTAGGGAAGGCAACAAGCTAGCAGACCACATTGCAAACTATGCACTGGATGTAGGTGAATTGGAATGTCATGGTTTTGAGGAGTTGGATGTGCAAGGGAGAAGGCTTGTGAACTCTGATAAACTGCAATGCCCATACCTAAGAGTAAAAGTCTCAAGAAACTAGGGAGTGACTGGGGGAGTGGTGTTCAGGTACATTTAGTGAGCTATTGTTCGATGCTGTGATGGAGGTCCATTTGGTGGTATTAATGCTATGCATACATTCCAATGGGTTACTGTCACAGCTGAACAATAGCACAACAACAAAGAGGTCCAAAAAGACAACTGAATGGAGGAAAGAATTGCCCAGAATGTCAAAGAAAAATGGGCAGCATCAAATATTTCTAGCAGCATCTTGGAGCATTATACATGGAGGAGCAGGATTTCCATACAGAAAGAGTGCTTCAAGAAAACAAGACACAGCAGAAAGGTCCAGAATGTTTAAGAGAATTGGACAATCAGTAGGGTCAGGTACTTTGAGGTGCAAAAGAGTGTTGCCCAGAATGTTTAAGCGAAGTGGGCAAAATAAAGCAAGGGATACAGGAAGTCAGGCAAGTAATAGTGCAGAACATCTATATTGCATATGGATAGGCTGGTTCTCTAAGCATTTGGAGAATTTGGAAATGGAAAATACAAGCAAGGACGACAGCTGGTTCGATGATCAAAGAGCAACCAAATTTCATGCTCAGATGAGAGACGAAGAACACATGGGCAGACAATTTTTCACTAACGTAATTTGCTTTTTTGCAGGAGTCGTTAATGTGGCTATGCCTCACCTTGTGAGGAACCTACAATTGGTGGTATTAGCACAGTGTGCTCATTCCATTGCAGGGGAATCATAGATGAGCATAAGTATAGCAGATTGGATAGGAAGGGGCACTGACAAGGCCCAAGCACAGCTGCAATTTCATGCATGCAGCAAAAGTTGGTCGAGATTTCTGGGCAGGATAGCTGCAGTCCAAATGCAGCTTCACAATTCCGTTGGCCAGGGATCATTTTTCACAAAGAAGCTAGTCATACCTAGAGCAAGTCATCACAATATAGAACACAAATATTACACAGGTGAGTTGAACTGGAAATGGCAATGCACAGGGCGATTTTGGTCACAATTTGCAGACAATGGCACTATACAATGGGCTGGGTAATCACACTCCATCATAGCAGGACAGACCAGGAAAGAATGCATGAGAAGACAACTACAATACACAAGAAGAAAGCTGACAAAAAAGAGGGCAAATACAAGGCAAATGAGCAACGGGGCAAACCAAATCTGGAAATGTTTTGCAGATGCTTGTGGTTTATGGAAAACATGGGGAACTTAATCTGCAATTGGACAACAGTAGGATCGTTACCTCATCAAGGAGAAGAAGAACACATCATGATCATAGGGGCAGTAATACATTTTCATAAAAACATGGATTTTGATAGATATAGCATAAGTAATGTTGTTAGTTTTCATCATGTGATACCTATGTTGAGTACTATACTCAATATTGGTAATAGGTTCTATGTAGTCTTCAATTTTTATCTTGTTCATTTTGTTAGACTTCCGGACAAACTATGTAATTTTGATTTTCTATATTTATGAAAAACCATCCCTAGGCCCTGCCTAGTGGATTGCCAAAAAAAAAAATCTCAATCTTTTACGCTTTTCCAACATAGGGTCTCCAATCCCTAGTTGAAATATTTTTAGACATAGGGTCTCCACTCCCTAGTCGCCTTTTGCCAACATAGGGTCTCCAATCCCTAGTTGAGATTATTTTTGTCACGACCCCAGTTCTCCCTCCGTGAACTGTCGTGACGGCACCTAGTCCCTACGACTAGGTAAGCCTAACAAGTGCGGAAAACAAATCGAAACTTGCGGAAGTATACATCAAAACCCAAAAATAACTAAAAGGAACGGTATACAGAATGCCGCTCGGCAAATACAACATAATATCTCAAACTTCTACATCACTATCCCAAAACCCGGAAACTCACGGGAACACAAGCTGAGAGAAATATAGAAAAAAAATGCTCTAACTCCGGAATGTCTACATCAACAGTATGATAGAAGGGCTAATACTACAAGATAGAATAAAGATGGAGACTCTTCGGTCTGCGGACGCTGCAGATGTACCTCGAAGTCCCCAAAAGCTCTCCCTGCCTCAAGGATGGTAAGCCTGTGCAGAAGTACCTGGATCTGCATATGAAAAACATGCGCAGAAAGGGCATGAGTACACCACAGCGGTACTCAGTAAGTGCCAAGCCTAACCTCGGTTGGGAAGTGACGAGGAAGGTCAGGGCCCTACTGAGGTTAAATAAGATACAGGTTTAACAGTGAGAAATGACAGTGTAATTAAATAACACAAGATATAAAGAACAG